TTTTGTGATGCTGTGTGCCCTATGTGACAATGATATTTGGGGTTTTAGTCTAGAGGGGGTGTGGGGAGAAGTAGTGTCCATGTCAGAGGACTTTAGAAACAATGGGATAAAATGTGCAACTTTTCATTTTCAACCAGTTTGATGCAATAATTCTAAAATAAATAATAAATAAATAATCCTTTCATGTTTATACAGTGCCTTGAATATCAGAAGGACATCTCAAAGTGCTTCGAAGAATATACTGTAAACAGTAGTGACTGTGTGTTTCGTAGGAGAACAGTTATTGGCAAGCGATAACTACTGAACAGCTTCCTTTCAGAAAAAGGTGACATGTTCTAGAAAAAAAAGGAACTATTTATTTATAGTATTTGAATGAATGCTACATTTTATCGCTTAACATTTGCATAGTTACACAGAGTGCTATGACATGGAAACTGGCCATTCAGCCCAACTAATCTGTGTGGTGCTTATACTCTACATGACCCTTCCTATGGCCCTCTCCTATACCTCTCTATTCCTTTCACAAGATCACAAGATTGGTTTGGATGAAGAAGGCCCTTCGGCCCATCTGATCTCATCCCTCCAGAACACTCACCCTACTGCCCCCCCCCATCACAGCATCAAGCTGCTTTTTAAGTGAGTCGATTGTCTTGGCCTTTACAACCTTTCCTGGCAATCTGTTCCAATCATTCATCACCCTCTGAGTAAAGAAAACCTTTCTGAATACGTCTCAAAATTGCCCTTTCAACTGTCTTGCTGCATCTTAAAGCATTGATCTGGGTTTACATCCTGTTAGGAATACTATGCACCTCTATGAGATTTTCTCTGAAGACTGACTCTCCCTCATGTGTGCAACAGTTAACAGCCGTCCATTGTCAGTGGTTAGGATAATGTTGTTAATGCCTCACACTTTCACCCTGCAGTTCAGATGTGCTTAGTTTGGCTGGTCAAGTAGTAAAAGGGCTGTTATACAATAATCAGCCACATCAATGGCACACAAAATAGAGCCATATAGAATGTGACCACTCTGAGTCACTTAATTCAGTTTTCACAACATTCGAGGTTGTTTTGCATACTGAAGGGCAGCATGTCTTAACAAACAAATAGAGAATGTTCCTTCAAAGACTTACAAAAATGTTAAAAGATTATCAAATTTGGCTTGTTTTGAAAAAAAACAAGTCAATGGCCAAACACAAAAACAAAACTGAAAAGTACAAGCCGTAATTTGGCTGAACGTTTACAGACTATGTCTAAGCAGGAAAATAATGAGAAAATGATCATCCTTGTCTTTGATATAGTGCCTTATCACGTTGTTGAGATAATTCAAAGCGCTTCACAGGAACACACCGTAAAGTGAATTGACAGCATATTTTGTGGGTGAAATCCTACACGAAATAAAAGGATTATCCTTACGTGATTATTATAAATGCAGTTTTTCCTGAGGAAATGCATGGCCGCTGCTGAACACCTGGCTATCCACATGAACACATGGGAGAATATGGACACACACCCACTTCCTCTGTGGGCCAGTGTTAGTATCATAGGTATTCACATCACAGAAAAAAAATCGAGTCTGCACCAGCTCTTTGAGTAAGCTGTCTGTTAAATCTCACTGCCCACCCCATCTTCATATCACTTCAAGCCTTTATCTTTCATGTACCTGTTGACTTCCCTCTTCAACCCAACTCTGCCTCTACTTCCTAACTTAGCAGGACACAGAACATCTCAGCATCTCTCCAGTGGCACAGTGCATTGAATAATGTTTTCTTGGGTTTATAACCCTTGACCAAATGTGAATGAGAAACAATGAGAATAAGGAGGACAGCAGACAGCTCCAGTGGAGGAGCTAACACCAGCCTAGGCACAATGCTTCCAGTGGACCTTCTTCTGTGCTGTAAACTTTCTGTGATTTTAACAGAACACTGTTGTGAACGAGTATTTTATTCTGGAATTCTGACAGCCACAGAAAAGGAAAACAAGTGTACAGCTCTATCTTCATTGTACAGTTGGAAATGTTGCATTGCATTGAATGCAAACACGAGCTAAATATACTTTCTATCATGCAGGCTTTTGGACAGTGATTTCTCCTTGACTTCCTATTCATTTCAATAACTTATTTGCAACTTTACAATAAATGAATGTGACACTGTCAAACCATGAGAGCCATTGAAATGTAAATTATGCTCAAATTCTCATTTCCAATATGATGGACCAAGCATTTTAAAGATTCAACAGGCATACAAAAAAACACCACACAGAAAATCAACAAGCATTTACAGAATAAATATAAGACAATGTCACTTTTTATTTTAATCTGTAATTGCTATTGAAAAGTACCACTTTCATACAGTATTTAATAGAGAATAATGATGAGAATAATGACCCAGAGTTTCTCAGACACCATTATGTACTTACTTCCTATCATTACGACAAATGTATTCCAATAAAACCAAACTAAATTGTGTGCTAATAGGTTCCACTGGGATTTTAAGTTGCTATGAATAACCATTCAGTGTCAGCTGTGTTAATAGCTGCAAAATTAATAGCAAATCTAGACCCACAAGAGGCAAACAGACAAAAGTTGTGCTCATTTTTATACAGCACTCTGCAGTTCCACTTCACAACAGCCAAATGAAGAGGCTATGAGGCTCTGTCTCATCTTTGTTTGGTGCATATATTTGTGTTCAAAGGGGAAGATGTCAATGCTGCAGAATGTAATATTTTTATATTCTCAGCCACAGCATCATGCATCGTGTATTCCCCTGATCAGGTATAACACAAAAAAGCTGCAGAATATATCTCCCGCTACTGAGTCTCAACAAAGCACTGTATCCCGACATTTACCAAAGCTCTTCCACTGCACCCATTTACATTTGCCCATGTCTTACTCTAGCACCATTAGTGATCTCTCTGAATGCATGTACCTGTAATACAAAACAATGTGGTCCACATTCCTAATCTGCACTAAACTCCGCACGCACATCAACACAATCCTCGCCAGGCTCCACTGGCTCTCTGTCTCTAAAACAAAGACACAGATCAACCAGCCTGATTCTCTGTAGGACTTAAGGGTGAGGGGGGTTGGTGGGCAGAGCAGTCACTGGGGGTAGAGATTCTTCCTGCTCAGCTTCTGTGAACCCTGCAAGCCAAAGCTGGACAAGCAGTGGGAAGCTTGCCACAAAGTGCATTCAATGGCAAGCAGCGCAGGTTAGCTTGTTAAACTCCACCAGGACCTAACATACAAAATGCTGTGGTACCTAAGCCTAGGGCAGGCCAACCTGTGCCTAATACTCTAGGAATAAGTAAACGGAGACAATGCACATTCCTTTGCAAACATGGAATTTCCATTCATAGGTAGGATAATAATAATAATACTCCTTGCATTTGATATAGCTCCTTATCGCATCTTCGAGACGTCTCAAAGCGCTTCACAGAATGTACCATAAAGTAAATTGACTGTATATTTTGTGGATGAAGTGCGGCAGTCAATTGCACACAGCAGTGTCCCACAAACAGTTGTGATTTGAGTGACCCATTTATTATTATTTTATTGAAGGAATTATTACCCCCGGAAAAGGGATCCACCAATTGACTAACAACCGGTACATGAAACTCTATCTGGTTTGGATACTTTTAAGCAAGGTAATAGATGTATCAGACACCCGGATTACTAATTTACCAAATACAAGCCTACTATCTTCCCATTTCAGGATCAAGCTGTTTAATAAATTAGATTGACCATCCTGACTTCTACCATGCTTTCTGGTAACCTTTTCCAGCTAAAAAAAAATACCCTCTGTGTAATACTTGATCCTTTTCCTTCTTATCTGTCGCTGTTAGTATTTTTCTAGATTTACTTTCCCTATCCCATTCAGCAAAGAGAAGAAACTTCAAAAGTTTGGTTTGGGTTGAAACTCACATCTCACAGGTGAAAGGACTGTAAAGTAACCCAATGCACTCACCAGCTCAATAAAGGCACCTGTTTTTCATTCCAAACCAAAATCGATATCCACACATATTATAAAAGGTTTGCTGACAATAAACATTTTGCTAGAGCATAAATATAATAACAATCATTTTTGCAAATTCTTTGCATTGGAAGGGCTTGCTTTCAAAATGCCTTGCGATATGAAATGAAAAATACAATGTTATTACACGCCATGGTTTGGCACTAGTTCTCTTAACAGAGTGGCTGTTCTGTGGAAGGAAGACCGTAGCAAAGGAAGTAATTATTGATGTCAGAGAGGTTTCTTGTGCATGGCAGAATGCACATGAAGTGACATCAGTGGCAAACTGTTGATATGTAAGGCAGCTATTTCCTCACGCTTTAGAATACATTAGAATACACAGCACAGATACAGGCCAATCGGCCCAACTGGTCTATGCCAGTATTTATGCTGCACATGAGCCTTCGCCTGCCCTTCCTCAATTAACCCTTCAAGCATAACCTTCCATTCTTTTCTCCCTCATGTACCTATCTAGCTTTCCCTTAAATACATCTATGTTATTTGCCTCAACAACTCCTTGTGGTAGCATGTTCCACATTCCCACTACTCTCTGTGTGAAGAAATTTCTTCTAACTTCCCTATTTGATCTATTTGTGAATATTTTATATTGATGGCCCCTGGTTTTGGTCTCCCCCACAAGTGGAAACATCTTCCCTATGTCTACCCTCTCAAAACCTTTCATCATTTTAAAGATCTCTATCAGGTCACCCCTTACCCTCCTCTTTTCAAGAGAAAAGAGTCCAAGCATGTTCAGCTTTTCCTGCTTTGTTTTAATATAGCAGCCTGTGTTTTATGGACCCAGACTACTGAGTAATCTCTGCATTTAGCTTCATCATTCCTCAAAGATGCAAACTACCTGTTAACAGCAGCCTTAAACACTCAAACTGAACTGTCGCATTACAGGTGGGAAGGGGCTTACAGGTTGAAGTCTAACTCTGGCTGTTTCTATCTTACTGTACCGCAGGTGTTATTAAGTTATAAGGTTCTGCTTACTTTTATATTCAAGGTGATAGCCAGCTGCTGCCACACTGATGTCCGATTGGAAATGCAAGTAGAGTTGATTTGATGTGCTGTTCAATAAGGCTGGGACAGTGGTACCTGAAATCAAAGAGGGATTTCTTTCAATAAACTGTTTTACAAAGCAACACAACCAAATCTGACCCCTTTAGTAAATAGAGCAACATCAGCCATGCAATGCTAGTTTGTTGCTATCCCAATCATTGAGTGAGTTATTCAACTGGTGATATACACCTTATCTCTTCTTGCCAGCCAAGTTGTACACACAGATCAACAAAACAACAGTGGCTCGTGTTTTCGTATGGCATGGAAACAGATGGGGAGAGGTGGGGGGGCGGATTTAAAAAGCGACAAACAAAACATTTTCTTTATTGATTTCTTGATTCTCTATTTCACCTCTATTTCGCAATTTCTTCTTTTATTGCTAAGAATCTCCAAATTCCACGGAGTAAGGAATGGAGGAGAGAGCTAGGGGGAACAAGGCATGATATGAAGTGACCGTGCTGTCACTGTGTTGTGTGTTATATCAAGAAGTGATAAGGGAAGTGATGGGGCATGTTGAGATCATAGGTTGAGTTCTTAACTTTAGTTTCTTGATTAAAATTTATTGTAAAGCTTAACAGGCAAAAAACGAGGGAGGGGTGGATTATGTTACTATTATTAAATTCCTTACCAAGGAGTCACAGACCAGGACTCCTAAATCACATCAATGCACAGCAACTCTGCTCTTGTGTGATTTGCATCCAGAGTGCAGTTTCTGCATGTTCCCAGATTGAGTCCTCCTGAATCTTTTGGATCCCCCCCATGTGAAATACAGTCAATCCCATTTTACAGTAATTCTGTGAAGCACTTTGAGATGTCTCAACGACGTGATAAGGCATTATATCAAACGCAAGGATTATTATTATCTTTGCGATTTAGATCAAGAAAACGAGTTAAAGCTCAATCAAAAACTTCTAGCTGTGCCAAGGACAGCCCTGAGAGCTTTGATTCAAACTCAGGGAAACACGTACGCTGTGTAAAGTGAAAACTTCTGCACTCTTGAAACCACCTCCTCTAAGTAATAATTCAATACAATACAAAATTACATTTGTAAAGCACCTTTCACTTTGGGAGGATATCCCAAGAGTTAGGTCAGGGATTAGGACCAAAGCGGGGGGTGGGGGGACAGGACGGGGGACGGTCTAAAGGGAAGGTCTTGTAATAATAATAATTATTATTATAATGCTTATATTTAATATAGCACCTTTCATATCAGGAGGATGTCTCAAAGTGCTTCACAAAATATACTCAAAATTGGAGCAAAGTGTATTTTGTAGTCAAAAGTATTAAGTGACATTAAGAGCATAAATCTAGTGCTGTTTGAGTCCCCATCCACCACATATTTGGCTTGAATCAAAAACACAGCATTAGTGTATGCACATGACTTGCAACATTCACAGAGATCTGTTTCTGTAAAATCCATGATACACATCACTGTTAAATCATAGCCAGCTCATGTGTTCTTACCTGAGAAACTCCCAAGTCTCGGTGCAGTTATATCTCCTCCATCGTAAATGTCCAGGGAGTCCCAGTTATGTTCTGTGGCGAAACTTATCACTTGAATCTATTCAACAATACCAGAACTTAGTTAGAATCATTGAAGTTTACAGCACAGAAAAAAACACATTTCAGCCCATTGTGTCTATGCCAGGTTTCTGAAAGAGCTATCTGTGTAGTCCCAATTCCTCTCCTTTTTCTCCCAAACCAATTTTTCCCCCTTTTTCAAATGTTCTTAAAGCACTTTGAGATGTCTTGGGGATACAATTCGGTTCTATATCATATACAAGGATTCTCACTATTATTAGTAGTAATAGAGGTATTAAGGGAAGGGCAAAACATTGGGGTAAACAACGTGGAACAATCTTGATGGACTGAAAGATCTTCTCTTTTTCCTGTTTTCTAATGTTCATGAATATTTGCCTAATTCACTTTTAAGAGATATTATGGATCCTGTTTCACCCATCGCTTTTAGAGGGCATGTCTGTGTCCGAATAATCCTTCAAACAACATTCTTCCAAACCCTCCCTTTCATTTTTTTGGTCATTATTTGAAATGTATGCCCATTGGTAACCAAATCACTGACCAGCGGAAATAGTTTTCCCCTATTTATCTTATTAAAATCCCTCTTTATTTTTACACCTCTAATTAGTCTCCCCTCAGCCTTCTCCTGATAAAAAACAGCTAAATGTTCTAGTCTCTCATCTTAATCTCTCATCTTCTCTCTGATCCAAGGTAGCATCATCAAACCCTCTCCCTTGCTTTGACATCTTTGAAATCTTTCCTAAAGGATATACCAGCCTGGCTCAGCAGGTATCACTTGTGCCTCTGAGTCAGAAGGTTGTGGATTCAAGCCCCATAACATGATTTTGAATTTATATTCTAGGCCTACACTCCAATGCAGTGCTGGCGATGTGTTGCATTAACCAAGGTACCACCCTGTGGATGAGAATTTACACCAAAGTCCCATCTGTTTGCTCAGGTGGACATCTCAAAGCACCTTACACAATATATTATAAAGCAATGTGACTGCATGTATTTTGTGGGGAAAAGAGTCAACTGATTTGCACACAGCATTGACCCACAAAAAGCTATGGAGTGAGTGACTCATTTTTATTTGGGGGATTGTTGGCCAAAACACTGGAAAAAACTCCCTCTTCTTTTTGAATTAAAGAGTCAGGAGCACATTTCAAAGGACTTCATAATCCTGGATCGATACCCGATGTGGGGATGGGAGCTGAAGAGGGTGCGGAAAGGTCCATATGAGTCCGATGAAAGAGGAAAGTTTTGAGGCGGGCTTTGGATGTGGGGAAGGATGGAGCGAGTAAGTTGAAGAGACTCTTGGATAAAGTTCCAGAGAGTCAGGACTCGGAAAGGCTGAACTGAAAAATTATAGAAACGATACCTAAGCCAAAGAGAGGATGTCACATAGATTCATTATGATAAGACCAGTGAATGACAATAATTATAATGAAAGGCTTTGAAAATTGTGGCTTCATTCACGGAAACAATGAAGCATAATTGGAGATCTATTGGAAGTTCACAATACACAATTATGAAAGAGTTTCACAGGGTAATTAGCAAAGGGACAACAGAATTATCACCAGAAACATAAAGGGAACAGGTTATTACAAACGTCTATTCAATATGCAATTGCAATAGTTACAACATGTAAAATAGTTATTGGGAAAGAGGAAGGAAATAGTTTAGAGCAGGCTACTCTTGTGAAGAACTCATTTGCTACAGGAAAGCTGAACCCAATAGTCTGCCTCTTTGATGAATTTTGATTCAAAGAAATAATGGTAATAATCCTTTCATTTGACATAGTCTTTCACATCAAGAGGATGTCACAAAAGATGCTTCATAGGATTTATTGTAAAGGGTAGTGACTGCATTTTGAAGGCAAGTAGCCAATAATACCACAGCAATGTCGTACAAACAACCATGAAGTGAATGACCAATTTTATTTGGAAGATTGTTTGGCTAAGATACTGGGAGAAACTCCTTTCTCCTTTTGAATGGTGCCATGGTTCAGGTTTCTTCACATGCACCTGAACAGGCATATTGGGCCTTGGTTTAATGTCTTCACTGAAGGATAGCATTTTAGACAATATAGAGATCCCAGCCCTATGTTTCTTCACAGACTATGAGCTCAAAGTTCCTATGGAAGGCATGAAGTGACAACCTTCTCCCGCAGAGGTGAAAGTGCTCAAGTGAGCCAGGCTGACACCTAAAGTGACAATATGATTCTTGATGGAAGACATTTTGTAAATAGCTCTGAATCTAATTTGTACAGTATGTTATGTCTAATTATGCACCTTGCTTGTTTATCCAGAATGAGGGCCAGTCCTAATTAGTACAGATAATTGACTCTCTACTGTACAATGTCTGCATAGACTACATGAATGCAAAAGGGATATTAATAGCACAGCATTAATATGAATATTACTAGTATAAATGTAAAGCTTACGCAACCCATGTCAGCACCTGCACCCACCACCACCCCCCCACCCAACCAGATATTGGTTTGCCTTAAATGTTGAAGAAGAGGTTTAATTTCTGCTGTTGAACAACTTGCCTGGATACCAGCTCCCTCGGTTACAGTGATTTTCCACACACAGTTCAGGCTGTTACCATATGGTTCGGGGTAGCCGGGGGAGAGGATGGTGCCTCTACGTTCTGTCAGGTTTGCATTACAGGGCACTGAAAGAGAAGAACAGGAATGGTTACCTTCCTTAATGACTCGCAACCAACAAATGCAACAGTGTAGGAACTTCAAGCTCCAAGTTCTTACATTACATTTAGAGCCGAACTTGTTATTTCATTGGAACATAGGAAAGGAGGAATGGAAGAAGGTCATTCAGCCCATCGAGCCTGTTCCACCAGTTGACAAGATCTTGGCAAATCATTTAAAAATGATAATAATAATAATACCCTCATTTGATATAGCACCTTATCATGTTGTTAGACATCTCAAAGAGCTTCACAGAATATACTGTAAAGTGAATTGACTGAATATTTTGTGGGCGAAACGTATATTTGAATCCAAATGTCCCGCCCTTCTGCCGTAGCTAATGGGATGGGATTCGGTAACAGCATGGGACTTGATAACTAGCCGGATAACAAGTGAAAAGCTTGTGGCTCAAACATTTCCAGTCAGCATCAACCAGGCAATCTTTAGCTTGAGTTTGAGAGACACGGCTGCCTTTTTGCCTTGGTTGAATGAGGGATTACAAACCACCCCTCCCCCCCAGCTCCTGACAAGAGTCCAGGATGGAGAGATTGACTGACAGTGAGAACAAGCTTGAACACCAATGGGGAGGGAGTGGGGCGGGGAAGAGAGTAGGGTACAGGGGATGCATTGAGTTAGCCGAGTCCACTGGTGTGAACAGCACTGAGATTCACCACGAAAACAATCCAAATGTCTTCTCTTTAGTGTTGGAGTATTAGCCAATGTGGTTTATGTGGATTTTCGAAACACATTTGATAAACTACCATGTAAAAGGCATATAGAAAACAACAACAACAACAAAATTCCATTTATAGAGCGCCTTTCACGTCGGGAGGACGTCCCAAGGCCCTGTACAGTTGGGTCAGGACCTGAGAAGGGGGGAAATGGTCAGGGTGAGGGGAGGGAAGGGAGGGAGCGAGGAGGGGGTAGAGAGTCGAGAGGGGAGCTGAAGGCACGGTCAAAGAGAAAGGTCTTGAGACCGGCCTTGAAGGAGGAAAGGGAGGAGGCGAGGCGAAGGCACTGGGGGATAGAGTTCCAGAGCCTAGGGGCTCTGAAAAGCCCCTAGGCCCCAGAAAAGCCCCAGATCATAATCTGAAAAGATTATGATCCATGGAATTAAAACAAATGTGTTTGTCATGGATAGAGAGGTTGGTTAGAGAACAGTAAGACTGTTTCTCTCTCTCTTTGTGTGGCTTTCCCTTCCTCTCTGATTCTCTCTCTCCCTCTCCTTGTTTATCTCGTTTTATCTATCCTGATGGTATCTATTTGCGTGTGTTTATATATCATTCTCCTTGACTGTGCACATCTCATCTTTTCTAACCCTGCACTATATTGAGCAGTCCTTACTTGTTGCTAGTATGAACTTGGTGATATCCAACATGTACATAGGAGGCACTCCAGTGCTGTGATGCTTGACACATTGGCACCTATCCCAAGGACCTCCATCTTATGCCAGAGTCTATTTACAACCATCGTCTCACCTCTATACACTCGCCATATAACTTCCTAAGAGAAATCCAATCCATTTATTAAGCACAGTCGCCCCACTTAGAACCCGATGCAGGACTTACCTATGCAGTTTGGTATCGTGTCGTTCCATTGCGCTAGGCCATTCAACACGGCCTGGCACTGAATAGCCTTTGAGCCCAGCAGGTAATAACCTGGGCTGCATTCAAAACGAATCACAGAACCTGCGGAAAACTCGGAACCTATTCGCCTGCCGTATCTGGGCTCAGGTACTGAGGTGCACTGGGTGGCACTGGTACGAGGAACAGCTGGAGAGCAAAACAGGAATTAGTGAAAACGCTTGAGCAAACACAATTTCCTGTAAGAATAATATTTTATGTGCTCGCACAAAGTCAATATTTCGATGCAAGCTGATGTTTAAATCACATTGTTGCGGAACTGCTCTATAATAATAATAAAAATAATCCTAGCATTTGATATAGCGCCTTATCACGTGTCGCCGAGACATCTCAAAGCACTTCACATCTCAACGCACTTCACAGGATATACTGTAAAGTGAATCGACTGTAATAAGTGCATAGGTCTTAGTAATTATGAATTTCTCCTCTCTTGTATGTGTCTCATTACTCCCAGAAGTATCTTAGAAGCGAGAACCACATTTACTTTCTTATATCCATATTCTGCAAGTACATAATGCTGAGTAACAATAACCCATGTGTTTGATAAATCAATTTATTATCAAAATGTCTCAGAGCACTCTGCAAGATCCATTGTAAAGTGATGTGATTCTATTCGTAAGCGATTATTACACAGATGAATGAAATGTTCTCTGGAGCCCATCAATTGCCTTGGTTTATCTTACAGCTAGAGAAATATGATAAAATTAATCTTCCTGGATCTCTGTCTCATACTTTTCTGTAAGGTTCTTCAAAAGGATCCTGATTTTATTTTGGTCAGTTTGGTGTCTGACACTTGCAGAAACCGAGCTAACTATTTAAAATTGCTGCCCTCTGGTCAATGACTCACTGACTAGTGAAGTAATTTCTCCCTATTGACTATCAAAACCTCTCATCAATTTAGAGAGCTCTATTATGTGTCTCTTTATAGTGTGACTGTGTGACTGCCAGGCAGTGCACATTCGGTATAACCCCTTTCACATCAGTAAGAGATCTCAAAGCGCTTCACAGGATAAACTTTGAACACAAAGGAATTAGTATCGTCAGAAAATGAGGTGAGCAAATGAAATGAGCATTCAGATTCTGGGCTAAATAATTGCTTGTCAGGATTGCATTAGTAATTTAGGAGAGATACATTACTCATCAGCTTTGAACTGAGGCTTACAATCAGATTTCACCAGGCAGCCTCTTTTTAATGGAAACATTTAACCTCAATGTGGAAACATTTAGAGCGAAACATCTGCTTTCGCCGCAGGTGCACCTGAAGCAAACAAAGGGTATTTCTCACATTAGCAATGAGCACGAGGTAAGTAATTTATCTCCAACTTCGTAATGAAAGGAAATTCAGCGTTTTAGCTATGAGAAACACCACGGTTACCTCACAGGCCCACTCCATTATTCACAGCTACAATAAAAGGCTTGTGGTGCATCAAGTCCCAGAGTAACTTTCTGAAAAATAATTTGAAAGGTGAACTGGACGCTATTGTTGTATTATATCTACATGATGTCGATACTCCTTGTGGGGGAGGTAAGCAGGATATCCTTAAAACTGAGTTTTCCTCAAGGTGACATGTTTGGCAACACAATGTCAGAATCGAGTTAATCCTCTGTGACGGTCACAGTCATCCAGTTCCTGAGCCAAGAGGGTCCACAGTACTCCAGGACATTGTTGTTGACAGACGCACCAGCCTGTCTTGTCGACAGGGTAGATAGATCACTAAGGGCAGGGATTTTTTGCACTCAGCTCCCGTTAACTCTGCAAGCCCTAACCCTAATGGTTAAGTGATTTTAGTAGGCGAAGCAGTGGGAAAGCTTGCCAGGCAGAGCACATTCAGTATAACCCCTTTCACATCAGAAGGAGATCCCAAAGCGCTTCACAGGATAAACTATGAAGTGAATTGACAATGTGTTTTGTAGGCAAAGTCTGCAAGAACTCCATATTCTTTGTCAGGTGTAAGTGAATCATTCTCCTATGTTTCCTTCACCACCGATAACACAAGCATTGTAAATATATCTTTGGTAACGAATGCAATAGAATCCAATCCACATGACAGTCTCCAAGGTGTCCAAGGTTACTACATATGTCTGCTGTGATCTGACAATCATTTGACTCACATGACTGCACAGACGTGGAGTAATGCAGGTTACCCGTTAGGCACCCAGAGAAGAAAGCCTTTACACTTACAGATCAGATTGCTATGCCCATCATACTTTTCCCTTACATGGACACAAGAAGCCACAATCAGAAAGCATGCTATTCTGTATATCAATTCTTCATCCCTTGCCTTTGCAAAATGCTGCTCGCTGCTGTGCGGTAAAATTGAAATCAATACAGCGTAAAAGTGAACGGCAAATAAGGTCAGTCTGGAAGGGAAGGTGATAAATAAAATGATTGACTTTTCAGTCTGGATTATTCATGCGACTACTATTCTCAGGGGTTTTCACGTATCTCCTTTGAGTGCCTTTCACGAGAAATCATAAAATTGAATGCAGAGAATTTTGAAGGCACCCTGAATATTTATCACGGCTAATGAGGATCACTGGACAAATGTTCCTGCAAAATCTCCTATTACGCCTGGTTCCTAAACATTTGTTATTAGCTAAGTCAAACAACTGAAGCTTCAGTGGTTCAAAGGGTCTCCCAAGACCAATTTTGTGTGCTCTGAAACAGGATTGCCGCATCAACCTAACTACAGCCCTGTTGCAAAGGACTGTGAGCTCCCTTGTTAAAGCTTTTATTTATTCATCCCTACTTGATGAGTAGCTGACACAGGGCAGATGGCGAAACACAGTGCAGCAAGGATTAAACCAAACCCAGACAACATCTGTAAGTGTCAGAGAGTATTAAACGATTTGACTTTTTACAACAAAAAACATTTTGTTTCAAAATTTAGATTTTGGAACAATTAGGATTTAGAACAGCCTCTGCACACAATTTTTAGCAATTTTTTCTCTTATCTGTGATTCTTAAAATCATACATGTCTCCATTAAATGACCTGGTTAATATTACCAAGTTTATTTTGTGCTACTTAGGAGAGATCAACTTGCAATTATATTGTGCCCTTCATGGAGGGCAGTGTCACGGAGGACTTAACAGTAGCGGAACTTAAAGCCGAGCCGAGGGGAGGGAGAAGTTGACCGTAGGCATGGTCGAAAAGTTGGGTCTTCAGGGAAGGGGGAGGAGGGATTGGGAGAGCGAATTCTAAAGCTTTGGGAGTAGTGGCTGAATGTGCGGCTGCCGATAGTGCAGCGGAGGGAACGAGGGATAAGCAGGAGACCAGAGCCAAGCAGAGGCAGCGGGTAGTGGAGTGGGGAGAAAGCAGGACAGTGAACTGCCTGAGCTCCCTGAGTTTCAGATTTATCCCAATATTAGCCTTGAGACCGCTGTTTTAAAGATTAAGATTGTAAAAATAATAATAATCCTTGCATTTGACATAGTACCTTATCGAGACGTCTCAAACCACTTCACAGAATATACTGTAAAGTGAAGAGACTGCATATTTTGTGGGAGAAACAAGGCAGCCAATTGCACACAGCAGTGTCTCACAAACACTTGTCGATTGACTGACCAAATGTTGGAAAAATTACAGAATTTTGTACAGAATTTTGGAGTAATTTACAGAATTTTGGAAAAATTCTTAAACTCAGTCTTAATGTTGAGGAAGGTTTTCCGTAGCTCCTGAGCTAGGCTGATCAGGAAAATATTATCACTGTACTGGGGAGATTTTGCACATCTTTGGCAGATCATGGCTAGAAAAAAAACAATGATATTCCTTGCATTTGACATCAAGCCTCAGTACGGCTCAAGGATATCTCAAAGCGCTTCACAGGATTTGGATTTACTGTAAAGCATCAGTCGGTGTGTAGTTTGTAGGCAAAACAAAACATTTAAGTTCCGATGGCTAGAATTTTAAATAAACATCCCTCGTAAATAAATGGCAGTGATCAAACTGACAATTAAGCAGGGGGAAGAAACTGTTCTCCAGAAGGTGGAGGGATGCACTGCTACCTCGCAGTTGTTTAGTGTTAAAGACCAGAAATTCATAGGGCCACAGTATCCCCATTGAATGATGATAATCCCCACAAATTTCACATTGAAGATGAAATGTTGGCTCAGTGGGTAGCACTCTCGTCTCTGAATCAGAAGCTTGTGGGTTCAAGCCCCACTATGGGATTTTGAACTCGCAATTGTCTAGGCTGACACTCCGGTGCAGTGCTGGGGGTGTGCTGCACTGTCGGAAATGCACCTACTTTCGGCCCAAGGTGTTATCATCAACAGTACTCTGCCATACTATTGACCGAAGTTTAACATTGATAAATTTAGATATGGGGCGGGGGAGAAAATCGAAGGAAACAACACCAATTTGTATTTACTACCAAACAGTGCAATACACTGAATATAATTCAGAGCAAACCAGGGAAATCTCCCATTAATTCTAGTTGCAACAAGGACTTGGATAAAGTGTATGTGGGGAAGTGAAAAGTAGGTGACTGACGGTCACAAATTGACCTTGCTCTTATTTACAGCTAGAGCGATTTTCAGTCTAAGTCATTTTGATACTTTTTGAGAGCCTGCAAACATTGAACTTATTTTTAAAAAAGAGGGATGAGACTTCTCTTCCCAAAGCCAGCAGTGAGATCTAAATGGTAAAACAGAAATTGATTGGAGTGCATTTCTGCAGATGCAATCTTGTGGCCATGCCTAACATCCAGCAAAGAATCCAATAGGAATACACAAGGATGAAGGGAGAATTAGGTAAGTCAGTAATTGCATCACGATTTTTGCCAGCAGTGCTTCTGGGCTGACCTTCGGGAGCTTAGCAACTCACAGAGAACACATTTCTTAACCTGAAAACCTGTGTTGCCTCCACTTCATCTTTCTTGCATTTTCTTTTCTCAATTTCTCATGTATCTTATGCTTTAGTGAAATGGCTAAATTACACAGTACCTTCCATAATGTACAACAATCCTTGCTTAACATTGACATTTCTCAAATACTTCACAATTAAATGCTGTCAAGTGCAGTGATGGTTCATTTGTAATCAGCTTTTTTGCATTCAGCAAGTTTCCACAAAGAGCCATGAAGTGACTAATTTATCTGAACAATTTCTAGCTATTCTCTTCTCTTTTTCAATTGTCTCATGGGATCTTTAACGTCTATCTTTGAATCTGGCTCCTTTTTGTAACATTTTCACTTCTGAGTCAGAAGGTTAAGGGTTCAATTTGCAATTGTGGAGGAGCTCTGCAGATTTGAGGTGCCATCCTCAAAGATGAAACTTTAAACCGAGGTCCTTGTCTGCTCAATCAGATTGATGCTAAAGATCTCATGACATTATTCTTAAAGACAATGGAATTTCTCCCTCAGTCCTGGCCAACAATCTTCAGGATAAAATAAATTGTCCATTAATTTCATTAAATTCATTAAATTGGCTACTGTATGTGCGTAGAATATACATAGTGACCAAAGGTTACAGAAAAACCCTGAAGAGCTTTGAGCCATATTGACGTGATAAGGCGCCCAATGAAAGGCAAAGGTTATTATTATTATTATTTGAGAAGCAGACTCGACCTTGGTTTAATTTCGCATCCGAAGGATGGCAGTTACATCAATGCAGTGACTTCCCAGGACTGCACATTCCCTTTTTATCTTGATAGCTGTTTTAATATGTCTGCGGATTTTTCATCTCTTCCTCCTGCCCCCTTCTGTTCCTCTCCTCTCCTGAAGGTATTTAGCCTCACAATAAATATAGTTCCAAAATACTGGGGGTAACAAGTGTTCACAGAACTGAACCCCAAGCTGACTGAATACTTTCATCAGACCGACAGAGTAAAGTGGAAGAGAAAAGAAAATTTAAACTGCTGAAACTGGGGAATAATAAAAGAAAATGACTGCCCAGACACAAAGAGCTCCTTTGGCTTAAGTAGACACTGGCAATCCTAATTTGAAAGCCTTTTATAATTTGCTCTGTAAAATTAATAAACAGCACTTTGAAAAGATCAATGTGCAGCTCTTCAGGGCACAATCAATCACAAACAGAGATCAAAGGAATGAGACACCAAAGAGCCTTTATTAGCTCTATTTCAGCCGGTTACAGATGATGGACTTATTTCTTTGTGAGGGCAAACATGCTATTCTCCGCTGTTTTAATGCCGTGGTCTAATGGAGCTGTGCGCATAATGGGATTGAGAGGCGGTGCTGCTTAGAGTCAACTGTTAGGAGGTACTCAGGAGGTGTCCTTCCTACCCATTTCCCTCCCCACTCCTCTTAGAAAAGACCTCCAGAATCAGTTTAAAGCAACGGGGTAAGCTTTAGTCACTCAATATCGGAGCATTAAATGATCCCCACTAAACCGCGGTGCAGCATTTGAAACCTCTTCCGCGTGGTGCCACTGTGCCATCATTTGACAAACATTCTTCTCGTAGCACAAAGACAGCAGCTGAATTGCAACAACCACATAGGGTTGTGTTCCTAAGGAAACAATGCTAAGTATATCACAGAGCACGTTGAAAACCTACTTTGGTCCTATTTTTAACAGTTGCTTTGTCTTATTTTTATTACACAAAACACATTTCAGGATGAAAAGGTCATCAATAATATTCTCGACTCAGAGACAACAAGATCGTGTTGCTGAGTTGATTCTAAAGTCAGCCTATTCTATTTAAATTGAACCCAGATTTTCAATTATTAATCTCTTGAACATGACTCAATGCAACAATCTGGCAAGGACTATCCGCCGGGGGTGGGGGCGGTTACGGGTGCTGAACTAGCTCTAGGGTAACATGCTTGACAATGGAATATCGGAATTGAGTCAATCCCCTGGAGAGGTCTTGGTAGCTCTTGGTCGAGTTCCTGAGCCCGGTTGGTTCACTGCAGTACTCCAGGGCACTGCTGATGACAGACGATGATTCAGTAGGACTTGCAGGGCCAGACCAGTCACTAGAGCCAGGGATTCTTCGCACTCAGCTCCTGTTAACTCTGCAAACCAAATCCCTAATGGGTAGGGTAGTCCTAGCTGGCCAGGAAGCAGGAATCTTACCAAACAATGCTCTGAATGGCAAACTAGGTGGTTTTGGCAGGCTAATGTCCAGCAGTAACCCAAAGCACACTTAGGGATCCCCAAGGTTTAGTTCTTGCTGAACTGCACCAAATACTCTGCAGAATTAGGTAAGCAGGATACATCCCTCCAAGAAGAGTGTCCATTTCACTGTAGACACATGGAAATTTCCATGTGTAATTGACATACATATGTGAATAGCTTAGTCTGATTTGGATACTTTTAAACATCAATGATGGGTTCGTGCAGGTGTCAGACACCTGGCTGTCCAAACAAAAAACCCTGGCAAGTTCAGTTTTGTATTTCTTGACAAAAGAGGATGTCTTTTTTATTTCCAAGTTAACTAAAATCAAGTCAATTATTTGCTCTGTTCAAATAAAACAGCACCTTTCAGGCCCAATACCAAAATACCTATTGATTCTACAGATCTGAAGATTTTGTTCACAGTAAGGCTGACCTGTCTGTAACATTGGCCAAGCTCGACAGTGCAACCTTAGACATCACAAAGCAATCAGAGCAAAGCTCCAAGTACTCAAAGCAAGCAAGCAAGAAGGACATAACTTACATTTCCATAGCACTTAATCACCTTCAAATGTTTCAAAGCACTGAAGCAATTACAAGTAACTGTTTTTAGTAGGCAAATACAGCAGTCAATTTGCACGCAGCAAGACCTCAAATATCCATTAAGTGAATGACCAATTTTTATCTGAAGGACACTAGGAGAAATTTCCTTCCTGTTTTGAAAAGTGACACAGAGTCTTTAACTTGCAAGGTTCTGGGACCTCAGTTTTAACACTTAACAACCCCCCCCCCCCCACCTGCACCTTGCAGTGGAATGTCAGCCTAGACTATGATTTCAATCCTGACATGGGGCCTGAACAACAACAAAATTACATTTATATGGCGCCTTCCACGACGGAAGCTGCGGGTTGGGATCAGAGATGGGTGGAGAGCAAGGGGAGCTTAAGGAGGGAAGATGATCAAAGGCAATGTCGAAAAGGAAAATCTTGAGATGGACCTTAAAGGAGGCAAGACAGAGGGGCTCCAAGATGTAGTTCCAGAGAATGGGGGCAGAAAGCCTGAAGGCCTGACTGTCGATAGTAGACCCAGAAACAAACTGATCCTGGGGTCGGGGGGGGGAGGGGGGTCGGTGAACAATAAAATAAACAGAACTGTTCTGATAATCCTGTAACTTTCTAACCTAATGATACAACTTTGTTTTCTCTGACCAGATGTCTCATGCTGAAAACATTGCAACATCTGCTAATAAATCTCTGGACATTGACTGAGATTAAGACAACCAAATATACACTTCCTTCAACTCTGAGTGCGAGGCCAAAGTTGGCCTCCAGTGACTCAAAAGCAAAAATGGGATAGTATTCCAAAACGTCAAGCAACCTCTTAAGCAATGTCCTAAACTCATTTCAAATCTTTAGAGAACTGATTGATTAGATTCTTTTCTATACCTTGATAAACAAAGTGAAAACCTCTGGTTGATGCTCCACTCTTAGCACTGAATCTCAGCAAAATTTGATTTGATTTGGCCAGAGGTAGGCTTTCTCCTGAGGAAGAAAAAAATAAAGACACAAAAATTACAATACAATACACATTTACATTTACAGAGCGCTTTTCATATCGGGAGGACGTCTCGGGTCCTCAAAGCACTGAATGGGTACCCAAGTTTAAGATGAGTTTGGCGAAGAGAAAAATTATCGAAAGGGCTTTGGATTTTAACTTTTGAGATGTGCCTTGAAAGAGGGGAGGAAGTCAGTAAATTGGAGGAACTCCATAAAGTTAAGCAGTTGCTGTGTTCTTTTACTAACAAGATAAAAGGGACGGATACTGATCTTAAAATAAAATCAGGCAGTACACTTTCATCTGATTGCACTGTGCTTGTTATAGTTAAAATATAAACTCATGTGAACATTACACTTTGTGTTAGACTTGAAACAGACCATCTGGCCTGTCTCGTACTCCATTCATTAAACAAGGTGTGTGATTTTTCAAAGATGTGAAAGTGGAAAATTGCAAAACAAAATAAGCTTCAAACGAAACGAAAAATGCTGATCTTCATAGAACGGCATTAGAAAAGGTGCATAACGAGCAACAAGATTGATCATGGAATCATAGAAATTTGCAGCATAGAATGAGGCCATAGAATCTGTCCAGCTCTCAAAACAAGCTGACATTTGATCCCACCACCATGCCCTATTCTCATAACCCTTCAAACCTCTATCCTTCATACACTCATCAACATCCCTTGTGAAACCCACAATGAACTCTGCCACTACCACCTTACTTGGCAGAGCATTCCCTATCTGAGCAACTCACTGAGTGAAAAGATGCGAGAAAACTGATCTCAGTTGTAAGATGTGTGGGCTAAGAAGAAAATTAGAGAAATTTATGTTTTACAACCTGGAAAGAATTTTACAACAAAAAACTGTGCAAAATATAGAAAACAACAACAACAACAATTGCATTTGTATATCGCCTTTCATGTCGGGAGGATGTCCCAAGGTGCTGGAAAAGACCACTTTACGCAACTTGAGTAGCACATGCAAATACACTAATGTCTCTCCCTAGCTTGATGTCTCCAATCATTTTCTATCAAAAATACCATTGAATTTCCTACTGAAACTGCTTACATTCTCTGTCTTCACCACTTCCCTGGGCAAACTGTTCCACAGAATAACTGCAAATTAAGAACTAATTTAACTAAAAAGAAAGGTACCGTTAAATCTTATTCACTCAGTGCGGGTAAGGTAAACTATGAATTTTATTACTATAAATAATAAGAAAGTAACAACAAAATATATAAATGAAAACTAGTAAGAAGTGAATTGAAACAACAGATTTAAGACACTGATAAAAATGTGGAATAATTCACAGAACAAAAGCATCAATTATATATTTATATAATAAATAATAATAATAATAATCCTTGGATTTGAGAAAGCACTTTTCACGTCTTCTAGACGTCCCAAAGCGCTTCACAGAATAATAATAATAATCCTTGCATTTGATATAGCGCTTTTCACGTCAGGAGGACATCCCAAAGCGCTTCACAGAATGTACTGTAAAGTGAATTGACTGTATATTTGTGGGCGAACGCGGCAGCCAATTGCGCACAACAATGTCCCACAAACAGTCGTAGATTGAAAATGTCCAATTTATTATTTTTTGTTTGTTTTTTGGAGGGATTATTATTAGGCTCTGTGTGGAGTAAGGAAACTTGCCCAGGGTTTCGCCCTGCCTGGAATTGAACTCAGGACTCTCACTTGCAAAGCATATAATGTCTTTAATATCAGGAGAATGTCTCAAAGCACTTTACAAAGCTGTCTAGGAGCCCTGAGCTGGGGTGGAAGGGGGAACTGAGGATAATAATAATAATAATCTGTTGCATTTTATATAGCGCCTTATCACGTCTTCGAGATGTCTCAAAGCGCTTCACAGAATATACCATAAAGTGAATTGACTATATACTTTGTGGCCCGCATGGATGGATGCGGAAGAGGGCAGGAGAGTGGTAGTAACCAAAAGCTCATCTTAAAACTGGACAGAGGTGAGGTAGAGAAGAACTCTGGAAATTAGCCTCCCCCACTGCAACAACCACCCCCCTCCCTAATCAATCTCTCCTTGACAGCAATTCCATGAAATGTACATTGAGGGGAATTTGTTCAGACGTCCACAGCATAATGCTTTGGAGGTCCGAGATACTCAATCATTAAAATCCTTGCCAATTCCCCTTTGGCTACAACATAAGAGAGGTGAGGTGTACCTGAGTGAGATCCAGAGAGGGAGCTGAGAAGTCTGGCTTGCTGACTGCGTCCATCGAACAACTCAACCACATCGTTCAACGCTGTCTGGAAATGCGCAAACTGTCCAAACACCACTGCAAAGGTAACACACAGGAAGAAGGAAATTACAAAGCAGCATTGATGCAATATACTACTACTAATAATAATAATCCTTGCTTTTGATATAGCGTTTTTCACGTCTTCTAGACGTCTCAAAGCGCTTCACAGAATATACTGTAAAGTGGGCGAAATGCAGCAGCAGCCAATTGCGCACAGCAGTGTCCCACAAACAGCCGTGGATTGGAAATGAACAATTTATTATTGATTTGTTTTGGAGGGAATATTAGTAGGCATATGGAGTAAGGAAACTTGCCCAAGGTTTTGCCCTGCCTGGAATTGAACCCAGGTGTTTCGCTTGCAAGGTGAGTGTTCTAACCATTGAGCTACAGGACTCCACAATGGACCATCAATAAATCTCTTGTTGTCACCTTACTGGATATGCATGAGTTAAGAGCTCAGCAAATAATTATTTCAGATCACATGATAATATCCAGTTTTCAATAGTTATTTAATTGTCCTTTATGTGCTTTAGTTCTGGTTGGTGTATACTTTACGTTAAATCACCCACAAAATACAGTCACTACACTTAACAATAAATCTGGTGAAGTCCTTTGAGATGTCCTCCTGATAAGAAAAATGTAATATGAAATCTAAGGATTATTATTATTAATAATATTATGATTAATATTATTATAAACTGGTACTGCATTAAATAAAGACAACTGGAGGAAGAAACAGAGTTGCTAACACGGTTAGACGTAAACTATTTGTGGCTTCGATGTTTAGACATGGTTGCATGCAATAATCACAATTTAAAATCCTCTCATCTTGATTCTGTACCATATTAGGGATTTAGCTGGGAATATCCGTGAATTCCCCTTCCTCATGTCTCTGATGTAATTCATGTGGCTTTGGTGCTGCAGACCTACAAATGTTGAATGCCAACTGGCAAGAGATTTTGTAACAAGTATCGGATACGCTCCAATAAAATGTTTATAGTGCTCGTGTGGCAGTGGGTGCGGTGTTCTGAATCAACTCTCATCATTCAGTGTTCTCTCGCTTGCACTGTTTTCCTATTCCTGTGTAAGTTAATAACCTGTCACAAGTCAAGGTTATGTTTCAGTTTCCAATGTGTCACTGGTACTGTAACTGCAAATGTAGTTCACGACTGGCAACTTTTGGGGAAGGCACTCGAAGCAATGAATGCAATCCCAGCAACTGGTGGTTTGTGATAAGATCGCTAGCCACCTCCAATGACATTTCTTTTTTTTAATAAGCTTGTAAACGTTAGGAGTTGTAAAATGAAGCAGAGCGAGAAATGTAAATGATTTTCGTGGCAACTAATTAAAAAGTGGATGTCTGGGCTGTCCCTGCCCAATCATTTCTCTATCCCTTCTCGCCAATGTTCAAGAGGGTGACTGCACAAGTAGAGCAGGGGGTTCAGAGATGGTTCTCAGAGATGGGGAGGTGCTGGGGGCAAAGGGATTTACAGGTGAAGGTGAGGACGATCAAAGTCGATCCTTTTGGTAAAACAGAGATCATATTTTTACATGAAAAGTGAAGCGGTTTTAGAATTAAGGTTGAATTTACAATTCTGCACACTCTTAAATTTCAAAGCAAAGCGCTCACTCTTACAGGCTAAGACTAGGTTGCGTCTTGGGGATCTGGAAAGTGAGGTTAAATTGGCTCGAATGGAGAGAAACACCTGCTGTGAACAAAGCCTGGGAGCTGGGTAGCTGACCGTCAATTCACTGACACTTAACAAGCCTGTCAAAACTATTTTTTTTGTTCCTGTATTGTCAACACCCATCCCTTAAACACATACACACACACACACATACAGTAAACGCCTGATAACTCAACCCTGGCTGAACTTGTCACAATCGCTTAAGTCACCACACTGAAAATATCGCTGCCACATTTATTTATGCATTTTTTATGCCTATCTTGCCACTCCAGATAACTCGTCACTGACCCCTTTTCCTTTGGAGAGGAGTTATCAGAAGTTTACTGTGAACACGTATACACACACACACACAAACACGCAAACACGTATACACTGGCTTTTGACATCCTTTCTAAAAAGACGTAGTCCACATGCTTTCTATACGGCATTAGTTGCTGAATAAACTCCTTGCGTTTAACATTTAATATCATAGTTATTATTAAGAAAATAATTGATGACATTATGTACTTATTATAATCTTTAAGCCAGTAACATCTGTAAAAGAGGTTAACAACTTTGATGATAGAGGTGTGATCCCTATACTTCACTACCTCGCTCCCCTATTGATTGACGCCTCCAGCCTTGGCTGACCCCACTCTGGGAAGCAATCCGTGTGCTCTACACTGGCAAACTCCAGTGCAACTGTCCACTTAAGTGGCCCAGGCACACGACCGCATATTGGAGAGAAAGCAACAGAGGCAGGAAATTAGAGGAGAAAAGTTCGGAAGAGAAAATTAAACGCAACAAAAACAAACAAATGAAAATTCTGACAAGAAACGTAAGAAATTCATAAATAACAAAGAAATAACACTTTACAAACATTATCGAAAGACTTCATCTGTCATTGAAATAAATATGCTTTCTCAGTAAATAAACATATTTTTGTACATGAATTTACATCAAGCATATTAGTAACCCTGCATTGACATCATTAGGACTTAAATAGCAGAGATTTTTTTTTAAATAATAAGAATCCTTGCATTTCATAACATGATAGAATTTAATACTAAGAGAGCAATGTAGTCAAATCCGAAACAAGGGGCTTAAATGTAAATAAAGCTAACTTTGCAGGTATGAGGGAAGAATTAGCTAAAATAGACTGGGGAATCAGATTAATGAATATTACAATAGGCCAACAATGACAAACGTTTAAAGATGTAGTGCATAATTCTCAGCGGTCACATATTCCCTTGAGGAATAAGAGTATCACAGGGAAAGCAGTTCATCCGTGGCTAACTAGAGCAGTTAGAGAAAGTATAAAACTAAAAGAAAAGGCCTATAAAACTGCCAAAAAGAGTAGCAAACCTGAGGACTGGGAGTGTTTTAGGGATCAACAAAGAAAACCAAAAAGCTCATTAAGAGTGAGAAAATGGATTATGAGGGCAAGCTAGCTAGGAACATTAAGACAGATTGTAAGAGTTTTTATAAATACATTAAGAGGAAGAGGCTAGCAAAAGTAAATATGTGTCCATTTCAAGCAGAGATAAGAGGAATTATAATGGGGGATAAGGATATGGCAGAGTTCCCAAATAAATACTTCGCTTCTGTCTTCACGTTAGAAGACACAAGACGTTTACCAGAAATAGAGATGAACCAATGGGCTAATGATAGGGAGCAACTTAGGGAAATTTACATTAGCAAAGAATTGGTGCTCGGGAAATTGTTGGCATTAAAAAGTGACAAGTCCCCTGGACCTGATGGTTTGCACCCTAGGGTTTTAAAGAGGTAGCTCATGAGATAGTGGAGGCCTTGTGCCTGATCTTCCAAAATTCTTTGGATTCTGAAACGGTTCCCATTGATTGGAAGATTGCAAACTTCACACCACTATTTAAGAAGGGTGGGAGAGAAAAGATGGGGAACTATAGACCAGTCAGCCTAACATAAGTGGCAGGGAAAATTCTAGAATCCTTAATTAAGGATGTCGTAGTGGGATACTTAGAGGATCACAATATGATTAGACAGAGTCAACATGGCTTTACAAAAGGGAAGTCATGCTTAGCAAACCTTTTAGATTTTTTTGAGGACATATCAAGTAGATTAGATAGGGGGGAATCAGTGGATGTAATATATTTAGATTTCCAAAAGGCATTCGATAAGATTGATCCACAAGATTAGGGCCCATGGAATTAAGGGAAATATATTAGCATGGATTGAAGAATGGCTAACGGGAAGAAAACAAAGAGTAGGGATAAACGGATCCTTCTCAGATTGGCGGGATGTGACTAGTGGAGTGCCACAAGGATCAGTGCTTGGGCCTCAACTATTTACAATCTACATCAACGATCTAGATGAGGACATCGAACTTAATATATCCAAATTCGAGGATGACACAAAACTAGAGGGAGAGTAAACACTGAGGATGACATTAAAAAAATGCAACGAGATAGATAGGCTAGGTGAGTGGGAAAATAGGTGGCAGATGAAGTGTAATGTAGGGAAGTGGGAAGTCATCTACCTCGGTGGCAAAAACAATAGAGCAGATTATTTTTTAGAAGGGAGAGACTAGATAGTGTTAGCGTTCAGAGGGACTTGGGTGTCCTTGTACACCAGTCACAAAAAGTTAGTTTGCAGGTACAGCAAGCAATTGGAAGGCTAACAGTATGTTGGCATTTGTTACAAAAGGGTTAGAATATAAGAGTAGAGAAGTCTTGCTGCAACTGTTTAGGACCCTGGTGAGACCGCACCTAGAGTATTGTGTGCAGTTTTGGTCTCCTTATTTAAGAAAGGATTTACTCGCCTTGGAGGGGACACAACATAGATTCACTAGGTTGGAACCAGGGATGAGGGGGATGGGTTATGAGGAGAGGTTGAACAATTTAGGCCTATATTCTCTAGAATATAGAAGAATGTGAGGTAATCTTATAGAAACCTATAAGATTATTAAGGGGCATGACAGAATAGATAGTGGGAGACTTTTTCCCTTGGTTGGAGAACCTATAACCAGGGATCACAGTCTTAAAATTAGGGGTAAGCCCTTTCGCACTGAGTTGAGGCAAAACTTCTTCACTCAGAGGGTAGTGAATTTATGGAAATCTCTACCCCAAAGGGCTGTAGATGCTCAGTCCTTGAACATATTCAAGAATGAGATTGATAGATTTCTTGAGGATAAAGGGATTAAGGGATATGGGGATAAAGCAGGGAGGTGGAGTTAGAATAGATCAGCCATGATCTTATTGAATGGCGAGGCAGACTCGAGGGACCGAATGGCCTACTCCTGCTCCCAATTCGTATGTTCTTATGTTCATATAGTACCTTATCACATCATTGAGACGTCCCAAAATGCTTCACAGAATATAACGTAAAGTGGAT